CACTTTTGTGTGCGGTTAATGTCAAGTTGTGTGGGTTTACGTATACAAAATGACAAACAGAAAACAGTTTTTCATGGGACATACAGCTGGCACCCACCTAACTACTTACGTGTCAACATCTCCTGCTCGGTGACATTTACAACGTGCTACCTCCTGTCACGCTAAAATAAGTCTTTTTGTTTTCACTGTGCGGTGTTCGCCACTAACGTGCCTCTTGTTGTGGGTTGTCACCGCACAGGTCACGCGCCCGAAGCTACTGACCTGTCGTTCGAACCTGAGGCTCGACAGTTCCACGTAGGCTCGGACAACCGTTTAACCCCGTACCTGTTCCCAATAAAGAAACAAAAATCAGATTTATTTTATTTAATAAAATATTAATGTCACAAAACTCAACTGGTTCTTCTACTCTTTCACAGAACAGAGTAGTCATTGCATCTTCTCTGAGAAGCCAACATTATGAAAAAGTAAACTTGCTGAGAAAGAAGAAGAAGATTAAGAATAAGAAGAAGAAGAGTAAGAAGAAGAAGAAGATCCGGAGAAAGTCTTGTTGCTTCTTTATCAAGCCATCTCTTTCTCTTTCTCGTTCCAAATCTTTTTTCTTTTCTCTTTTTTTTTTTTTTATTTGATGCTGAGAGTTCCGCCATTAAAGCTTTCACGCCAGTTCCCACGAGAAATTATCAACCTTCTATTTCTCCTCCTCGCTTTTTCTCACGGGAAGAAAACCCATCACCCATAAAGCTCACTCACTCTTTTCCTATATATACTCTGTTGATTCCTCTTTTTATCATCACTATACCTTCCATTTCTTCGATGATGGGGAACTTGAAGAGAAGGACGATGATGCTTCCGTACATTTTATTTACAGTCTATCTTCTTCAATGTAAATTCCTTGTACTTGCGATTCTCGACCCGGTTGATTTCTTGGCTCTGCAATCGATCCGGAAGTCGTTAAATGACTTGCCGGGCTCCAATTTCTTTGCTTCCTGGGACTTCACATCGGATCCGTGCAACTTCGCCGGAGTCTACTGCGACGGCGATAGGGTGCTCGCGCTCAATCTGGGTGATCCAAGAGCTGGCTCCGCCGGGTTGATAGGTCGGCTGGATCCTGCGATCGGGAAATTATCCGCATTAGCAGAGTTTTCAATAGTCCCTGGCCGGGTCTTCGGGTATCTGCCGCAATCGCTATCAGAATTGAAGAATCTCCGGTTTCTGGCTATAAGCCGGAATTACCTCACCGGTCAGATTCCGGCGGGTCTGGACCAGCTCCGCAGTCTCAGGACACTCGACCTCAGCTACAATCAGCTCAGCGGATGGATTCCTCCATCAATCGGATCCTTACCGGAGCTATCCAACGTTATTCTCTGCCACAATCATTTCACTGGTTCGGTTCCTCGGTTTATCTCTCAGTCACTGACCCGTCTCGACCTCAAACGCAACAACCTCTCCGGTTCACTCTCTCCCTTTTCCCTTCCCTCGTCTATCCAGTACCTATCTCTGTCCTGGAACCGGCTCAGCGGCCCCGTGGACCGGCTCCTAAGCCGACTCGACCACCTGAACTTCCTCGACTTGAGTTTAAACCAGTTCACCGGCCCAATCCCCGGTCGGATCTTCACGTTTCCGATCACCAACCTTCAGCTGGAGAGAAACCTCTTTTCGGGTCCAGTTGAACCGATTGACCAAGTGACAATATCGACCGTTGATATCAGCCACAACCGGTTGTACGGTGAAATCTCGCCGAGGTTCTCGACGGTTCAGAATCTCTACCTGAATAACAACCGGTTCACGGGTCAGGTTCCGGCGAGCTTTGTTGACAAGTTGTTGGCAGCGAGTATACAGATACTGTACTTGCAGCATAACTATCTGACAGGGATCGAGATTAATCCGACGGCGGATATCCCGGTGAGCAGCTCCCTTTGCCTGCAGTATAACTGCATGGTGCCGCCCGTACAGACACCGTGCCCTTTGAAAGCGGGCAATGAGAAGACAAGGCCGACGGCGCAGTGCGTTGAGTGGAAGGGGTAAAATCGGAAATTCAAGATATTTCTAGGGGCATATTTGGAAGATAAATATACAATTATAATATATATATATATATATATTGTAATAGATTTTTAGTTTTTTTTTTTTTTTTTAATTTCCCCCTTTAGCAATTATGGATTTTTTTTTTTTTAATTACCCACTTATGTTTTGGATTCATTAATTTATTTTTACGTTGTAATTTTGCGTAAATGAGAAATAAAAGGTCATGGATATTTTTATGTATGTAATTCCTTAGCCTTATGAAGTTTATATAACATTTCCATATATGTCTTTATTTTTTAATTTCTTAAATGGCTATATTTTGGAAAATAATTAATTATATTAATCAAATTTTTTAGTGTTATTGATAAAATGGTTCACAACAATTAAGTCTCAAAATTAATTTATATTAATTGGCAAGCAATAATTAATCAAAATTAATTTATGTTAGATCGGGTAATGTTTGTTATGTCGTGAAGAATCCCAAGCCACAAATCTCCACGCTTGGTTGAATTATTGGGTTGTCGCAACACGTTGAATTAAGTGACCTATCGTATATTTGGACTGAAAATTGTGGAGATGGACATTCTGCTGATATACGAGGCACTTAGTTCGAATGAGATAAATTGTTTGAAATTTAGTTTTATCATCGAGAACTGTAAAGTACTGTTGAATAACTGTTCAGATATAAATCGTGAACTGAATAAAACATAATCGTAATGAGATAGTTTATTGTGTTGCAAGAATTTCTCGTAAATTTCTAATTTTTCACGTTTGAGAGAATTTCCAACCCAACATTACTGTTTTATTTGATCATTGAGTTTTAATGAAATTTTTTTTTTAAAAAAAAAAAACAATCAAACTATTATTTTCATGTGATCATTATCTAAATACGATTATTTTGATGTTATTATGTAATATCTTTATCATGTTCACAAACATAATATAAAGTTTCCCCAATCCATTTGATAAATTCTATAAGCTATAATTAACTAAAATCATTCTTTTTATTTTAATGTCCAAAGTTAATTGTATATACATTTGATGAAGATAATAAATCTATACAAAAAAAAGTTAGTTGATTTTTCATAATTATTGTGCAAGTTTATTATTAATTTTATCAATTAAAGTTATTGTAATAATTACATATAACATAATTTTATTTATAAATAAACAAAAAAAAATGTCTTTTTTAAGCTAAAGTTTTTACAATGAAATGATTTAAAAGGGTTTGGTTAAGTTTTCTATTTTATATTTTGGTCGTTTATGTTTGTTTTTATTGATAGTATTTTTAGAATAAAATTTTAAATCACTAAAGTATAAAAATTAAAATAAAATTCCTCAATTTTGAGAAATACCCTTTGTGAATTCATAGAAATTGTACCTATTAAGGTACATTATTGTATCAGTTCGTAAAATTCAACACTTATTATAATTTAATTATCAATATTTAGATATTGTAATTTGATTAATATATATTTTTTATTTGTTTTTTAATTAGAAAAAGAAATTTAAATGTTTAAAACAAATAAAAAATTTCATGAACCAATTTATAATAAAAAAAAATTTATAAATCATAAACATTAAATTTTAAAAATTAACTTGATAATTTTTTATAAAATTATTATATACAAAATTTGATCAGTAGTTATCTTAAAAAGATATTCATCGAATAAAATATCGATTTATATGTAAAATTCAAATTCGATAATACGAGAATGAGATTGAAACAAATTTTATTAATGATTTAATTATTAAATTATATTTTTATTTTCACGATATTATTTTATCGTAAAATTTATATTCTCAATATTAATAAATTGTGATTTATAGTAGCAAAATAAATTAAGAATAAAATTTATAAATTGAGATAATTTGAAATTAATAATTAATATTATTGGGAAAAAAAAATTGAATAGAAAATATTTTTGGCAAATTCAAAATCTTTTTAGTGGAGGGGAATTAAAATCATGATAATTGTTTTTGCAGCTTTTCATTTTTCACGAGCCTTGTGAATTGAAATCTCATCATATAAACCACACTTAGACTCATTGAACTATAGATACGTGTATATGTTTATATATATACATAGATATATATACATGGGAAAACTAGGATATACATATATATATATATATATTCCATTTAAACGAAGGAAATAAATAAATAAAATTTATAAACAATGTTATATGTAACAAATTATAGAAGTATGCATTGTGAGAGAATAATTAGTGAGTGATGTACGTATAGATAATCAAAGTACACTACAAATTATGTATTATAAAAATAATAATAATTATGAAATTATTTATACACGTATCAATACATGATGGTATTTAGAATTGAAATAATTGAATGAATATTCATAATTTTAATTTAATTTTCAATAAATACTCAAGTAATAAATTATAAAAAAAAACCCAAAATTTAAATTATTAAAGTAAAATAAAATCACTTATAATAGATGTATAAATTTATGTGTTTTTTCAAACATAATTTTAAATTAATTAAGATTAATAAAACAATTAATTAAATGATTATGGCACGTGGGAGTATAACCAAACACATTAAAATTTAGCGGTGAAGGGTCAATGTCTGTGACTCAATTTGGTGTCTTTATTTAGTTGGAGAGTTTCGCTTGTCACTCGTCAATTACTATATATATATATATATATATATATATATTATATAAAAATAATTACGTAATTTATTTTTTATTTTTCTTAATTAAATAATATGGGGTTATTCTCGTGTTTATGTTAT